CCGCGCTCTCTCCCCGCGCCTGCAGCCCCTCCCTCCTTGGCTCCCTCTCGGCCCTCGTTGGCGGCGGGGGTACCCCGCGCTCGCTGATACAGCTTGATTTCGGTGTCTGCTGGCGCTGGTCTCGGGATCTGCGTCGGGTGTGTAGGCTTTGCGAAGGGAGGGCGCTGGAGATAAGAGTCCAGAAGTTGGAGCAGCAGGGCTGTTGTGTATTGACGTTGAGTGTCTCGGAGATGTGAAGTTTTTGTGTTTGCTGTAATTAATTTGCACGTGGGTGATTGGCCCGCGCGTATAATTCGGTGTTTATTGACCGCTGGCCGCCGGGAGTAGGTGTTTAGGCAGACTTCCCTGCCGTTTCGTAAGCTTACAGAGGGTCAGTCCTAAAACGCTATCGGTTACGTTCGAGTGTTTTCCCGCTTTATTAACTGAAATGACTAGTAACAGTCGCAGAGCGCTCCCTGGAGGGCAATTTGTGACATACTAATTTCTAACCAAAATTTGAAATAAGGAAATTCCCGCCTTTTTGTTTTTGCATATGGAGGGCTTTTTGAACCGTTTATGTTTTCTTGTTTGTGTTGCTGTTTCAACGATAGGACATCTTTTGAGGGCAACTTTAAAGTGGGCGTTTCAAAGTACATTTTTAAACCTTAATCATAAACGGTCAAATTTTTGAAAATTGTAGTTACTTAAGGTTTTGTTTTTTCTTTTTGATGAATTTTGCAGGAGGAAAGGAACAAATATTTCATGACATTTTGTATTGCAAATTTGGAATGGCTCATTCGGGATAAATCTCCGATTGGCTCCAGCAGATGCGTGTATTGTTTGTTTTTTGTTCTGTATATTTTTATGTGTTATTTTGTTAGTTGGAATCTGCTAAATTCGCAGATTTCACGTCGTAATGGTATGTAGTTAAGACTTCCAATGCTTCGTAAGATTTGAATGGGGAGTTAGGATTGTTGCTACTGGTTGCTTGTCCAACTCAAGATTGATTTGTTGTTGTTGATCTAAATACGTCTTTATTTCTCCTTAAATTTAAAAAATTTTTATTGTGATCTGGGTGGAAGTTTACAGAGCAAATTCGTTTTCCATACAGCAGTTCGTACACATTTTGTTTCATGACATTGACTGTTAGTCGCCACAATGTAACAGCTCTCTTCCCACTTCCTCCCTTAGTTACTTCTCTGTGTCCTCCTCTCTCCTGCACCCCCGCCCTCGAGCTGTCTCTTACTGCAAACACTGCCTTTCTGTTCTCCCATGATTGATCCTCCAGAGAATATGTCTACCTGATGTAAATGTTCACCTCCATATGCCTGTCTGTTGTTTGGCTGGAAGCCAGTGCTTCTTTTAAAATTGTAACTGTGTTGCAGTTTTATTTTTTAAATCTCTTCTGTGTTTTCCTAGATTATCTAGCTGGGAATGAAAGCTGAAATAAACACATAGAAATTTTGTTGAAAATCATATCCTGGTCTTTAGAGAAATTGAAAATCTTA